ACACACAAAGGCTTGACCTTACTATATGATCTAGCCTAAGATGAGGATGATATTACTTGGCATTATTAAATAGCAATGCTCTGAGCTGAACTTGAGATCACAGGACATATAAGGACATTCTACATGCTGGTGCTATGAAATAAATAACCTACTGGCTTTAATAATATCCTCCTCTATAGTACATCCCTACATAAAACGAAGAATGGGAGCTGCAAACCTCAACTGCAGAAAATTAAGATTTTGATATCAAAGAAAAACATAAACTGCAGCATGCCATTTACTTTTACTAAAAACTCACACAAAGCAAAGGTAAACAAGATGTAAAGAGTCATTGTTACTGACTTTGACAAGCTGTCCCTTTAATGTCCCTTCACGTAGATTGTCACTTACACTTGTTACATATTAGAAAAGTTATAGGGAACTCAACTTATTTCAGTGTCAACATCTTTCAATATCTATATTTCCTTAGTGTCATCTGCTGAGCAGCTCTCTAATAGCGAGCGCTTAGCGACTGCTTCTGCACGTGACTTCAGGTGTTTAAGTGTAATAATAGTGGGAACACATTTATATTCATGAATGCAGCTTTGCTGATACAGAGGTCCTCGGGGTGCTCGGCAGAGAAGGCACTCCTTGTGTGATGCACAGCTCCTACACCAGACCAGTAGAGTCTCTCTGAACCTGCCAATGCAATGCTTGTTTGCCCACATGCCATTAACCAGCACACTTCAACCAGCAACAGTGTCTGTCAAGAGCTGCTCTCAATTCCAGAGCAACGCAAATTGTGTCTATTTTAACCTCACCATGCTAGGAGAGAAAAAAGCAGGTGTGGGGACAATTCAGACATACATCTACATCTTTAGTCTCTTCTCAAGCAGGTCTCATAGAAATGGTTTGTATGTAACAAGCTTGCAACAGCAAAAGAAAAAGAACATTTATTTATTTGTTTAGCACGTTGCAAATGCAGAGAGATTTGTTTTCCAGTAAATGTTTAATGATGATCATTTAATGATAATATTATCATCAAAGATGTAGTGGTTAAATCTATCATCTTTAGCTAGTTGGTGTTCGGGTTTAATCCAGAAAAAGTACATCGATACTCTGTATTTGTGGACAAAAATTGAGGTGGCTACTATGACATCACGCACTGGTTTTGGACTCATTTGGAAGCCTAACATCAGATTCTTTTAACCAGGTTTAGTTGAAGTACTAATACATAACTATTATGTTATTATTAAGTCATTAGCTAAGGCTAACAGGCTTAGTAAGAGGGGTGAAATGCAATGACAGAAGCATTACCTGAATTTGTGTTGCAAACTTTACTCACCAAAACTACAGAACAAATTTCTTGGCTGAGCTGTAACACACAACAGGGTTTTTATTATTGATCAGATAATCCCATTAAACTGGTCCAACTGGTCAAAACAACACAAACACAGCAGACCAGTCCACTTCAGTGATTGCAGTTAGCACAGCCCTTTGACTGGGACGCCTGTCTGTGAGGACTCAGCCTTTGTACCCGCCTGTAAACATGTTTTTATGCTTTAAAGTCGTACAGCACATTTCAACTCAGGACTCTATTGGAATTGACTCAGTGGCCATTTGAGGAACTGCACAGTTGTTGGCTTCATTTTTCCATCCCAGTGGTTGATTGATTTACATCAAAACAACCATCCACTGCTAAAGGGCAATAACGCTTTTTTAACCGTGAGTCAGATTTTCCAATCTTCAAAATAAAAATAGGTGAACTACTGATCCAGCACTGAGAGAGAACGCAACTCCCCGACCACCAAAAGACGGTCTTATCTCTCTTTGTTTGTTTAAAATTATTCTATATTTTAACTATTTAATGTTTTTCCACTTTTCCTTGGAGGACTGTGTCTCATATTCATCTTGACACGACTGTATTCCTACAACACCACACCTCTCACCACATCTCAGAGCGACACTTCTCTAGCATGTCACACACTTGTGTGTCTGCAGAGATCCTTTCCATCTTGCTGTCTGCACAAGAACAACAACCTCAGCCTGTCAGACCCAAAAACAAGCATTCTTACTTTGACATGTGAGTTTGCCTTGTGGGACTTTAAAGCCATTTTGCAGTTTGCTGGTTACATTCTTACTCAGTACTGGACCAATCACAGCCATTTTAGTCAGTATAAATTATTTAGACCCCAAAAGATGGAAAAAAGAGCCAAGGTTAAAAAAAATGCCTCATTAAAGTGTGTCATTAATTCAGTCAATACAACTGGGACACTGTGCCAGCATTGTACAAATACTTCTAATCATCAGGAGGCAGTTCTGTTGTAACTCACGGTCAATGTTTTCACTAATATGGAAGAAATTAATGGGCTGTACTTCTGCTAACTTAAACCAACCAGAAGAACACCAGTAAGTGATTTGTGTGCTGTAGGGATGTAGTGAGGTCCTCAGGTGGGTTCAGCAGCAAACCCAAAGTCTCGGGTGGGGGTCTCTAAAGTGATGAAATCTCACGAGACTCCTATTTTAAAATGACCAACTGATTACATTTAAAAGCTGTTTTGGCCTCTGAGTAATGTACACCTCCATAACAGCGGCAGGTAATTTGCATTTGGAGAGTAGTAAGGCTGAGAGTTAAGGGCACTGCTGCTTTGATTAACAGGGTGCACTGGGAGCTTTAGCTAAATGCTGTGTGCTAGGCCTTGGCTCTGTTAATTAAAGTCAGTGAACTGGTCCTCTCAACTGTATTGTTGCTAATGGTGTCTTTTGGATATGCCAAACACTACGTCTTCCTGTGTGTTGAAGCACATTTGTCTTAATCCAATAGCAGATATATAGCATGTCTTTGCTTTGCATCTGTACAGTTTATTAATGATAGCGTTAGCTGATCACGTCGGACTCAAACAGACCCAAATAGCGACTGCTAAAACGCTGTCGTGATGGGTTCAGAAGTCCGAATGTAGTGGCCGACTTCACAACGCCTATGCCCAGCTCTTTTTTGCAGCACGTGTTGAACTAGGTTGTTGTTCCCAAAAGACAAAACTCATTTACAAGTGTTGAGTTTTTAATTATTCAACAGATTCAGCAGTGATTTACCTGCAGGCTGGCTGGAGGTAAACTCTGCTGTGCTGTCATCTTATCTTCTTATGCCCATGATATTAACAAGCACAGCAGATAATTTCCATATGATTATGTTTTAATAGCAAAACAAAAGTGCGTGTGGTTGAAAAAAGAAAAGTCTAGGGAAACTAATCTGTATTAATGAATATAAAGGACAAACTGAACATATCGATTATTTTGTTTGACTGACTGATTCATTCTTCAATCAGTCAGACGCTGGCAGTAAGGGGACCCATCATATGCAACAAAGCCCGAAGCAAATCCTTCAAATTGCTGACTCCATCTGATCAATATTCAGCACTGGAGGCTTTCTGTTTGAGCACAATCAGTCTTTGTGTTACAGACTAAGAGCTGTTGTTTCCATAATTCAACATTTTCACTAAAGTTATTTTCTCTCCATCAGTAACATCTTGGCTGCAACATACAAGACTGACTCCTGTTGGTGGACGACTGTTTATTACTTACGTTTGTTTGCCTGACATCACTGATACAGCTGATACTGAGACGCCTCGGCCAGCTTTAGTTCTTTGTCCTCGTGCCCTCCTGGAAGGAACAGAACATCGAGTCCATTACTTTTATTTTACCAAAACACCCACAGGAACAGGACAGTCTTTAATGTTAGCATGCTGTGTGGTGAATGGGACTATGTTATTACAGTGTTAGTATCCAGTGTATGCCTGCAGGCCAGCGAGATGCCACAACTCTAGAGCTGAGAGTCATACGGATGTAGTAAACCAGTAAAAAGAACTGGTTCTGTCTTTCTCTGCAGCTGTTTATGTTAAACTCAGCTTTACCAGTGTGCACCGTGTAGTGCAGCTAGATTTGATTGTGTGTCAAACTTCTCTTACAGGTCTGTGAAGATATTTACAGAATTGTGCCTAACCAACTTTTTTTGCCTTAAATTCACCAGGAAAGCTGACACAGAATCACACGAAGTCCGCCGCTGTTCATTTACAAAGTCAACACATTTGTTTGTTTAAGTTAACACGAGCAGCTTTGACCAAAAAGGATTTCTTTTATCCTTCTGTTCCTTAATATGTTACTGGATGTAACATATTAATGTTGCCTGGATTTAACTTTAACAGGAAACAGCTTTATTAACTCTCCTAAATCCAGGCTAGGTTGCCCCTCCTTCTTTTTCCTCCTCACCAAGCACCCTCGTTTGGACACTGACATAAAGTGCAGGAGTAGACGTGCCTAAATTATTTAAACATGTAAAATGTGGATGGGTGGTGGGTAGCTGGCTTCTAATTATTGAGCGATACTGTTACATAATTGCACTAACACACCACACACTTCACATCCTGGGAAAGGCTGTAAGGAAAGCTTAGGTGTGATATACAATAAATGCAGTAAATTGTGTGATAATTAGCTATTTGACGTTTGCGTAGTCTAAAACTACTGTTGACCTGGTGATTCCATATATAGCAGTAATGTTATGACTTTGACATTTGAATGGCACAATAAGGCCACGCCAGTTCATGCCTGATTTGTATTTGGAGATTTGACTGCTGATAGAATCCAAATAATGACAGCGCTCATCGGGTGTAAATGAATACAATAATCAGAAGGCATTAATAAATCCTGATGTGATAACATCTTGATAGCAGCTGCAGACTCCATGCAGGAAGTGACACGTCTAATCTCAGCATCTCCTTTATGTATGAAGTGATGTTTCTTTGAAGTGATTACTTCAAAGTCCTGCTGAAAACACTAGGGATGCACTTCATAGCTTGATGCAAAACCAATAATATCTTTTTCAAAAGCCACAATAGAGTCTTTTGACAAAATTGTCAAACATATGGCCCATGAGCCAGGATGGGCCCACCCAAGGGTCCAATCCAGTCCACTGGATGGCTTTGCAAACTCTGAAAAGCTTTATTTTTGGACTTTTGTTACAAGCGTTTAAGCCATGAAAGAGGATTTCCAGACTATTAATTTTATCTCAGCCAGGGGTCTGAATCATTGTCAGTTTAACAAGTTTTAATGCCTGACGAAAGGCAAAAGCTAATCTGAGGAGCTGAGCAGGTGTATTTCTTTGATAAATACTCATATTAGGGAGGGGCAAAGGTTCCAACAACGAATCAGTGAAGCTTCATACTGCTAAGTTTCAGACAGTTTGTTTACACTGGTGTCTGTATGATGTCATTAAATATGGCAGCAAGTATATGGTCTTCTCAGCCACGCAGCTCAAAATTATCCAATAAGAAGGAAGCTGGCTTTTCAGTCTATAAAGAGACAGAAGTTAAAATGGCCTGTGGTGAACCTATTATGAGTCATGAAAAGCTACTGTTGAGTCTGACTACAGAGTCCAAGAGTAACAACATTATTTGAAACAAAGGACAGTGAACAAAGGGTGAAAATGTAGATTAAATGTTTGCAGATCTCTGAATGTTTTCAGCCGGTCAAAAATGATGCAAACCGTCAAAGCTTAATTACAACTTTTGCAAAAATTACAAAAGGTGAAATGAACAACGTTCAAGAGCAGACTTTCAACCTTACAAAACATCTTTTTATCAGATTCAAATCATGGCAGAAATATCTTAAACTAACAACACAGGAACTCCAGCAACACTTAAAAGTGAAGAGGAACAATTTTATTAACTGACTAACATGTTGTGGCCTTCATCAGGGTCATAGTAATACATAATACATAACCATCACATCTCCATGTTGTTAGCGTCTCATCCTCTCCATGCACCTTGGAAGAAGGCAAAGTTGTGCCAGAAATGTTTGCTGAGAGATATTTTTAACTCCTCACCTCCTGAAGCTGTGGAGTTAATATTGGTCCCACTGTTTGAAAGGCATCACTGCATAAAGTATTGAGAATCAACATTTCAGCGCTGTGACAGCTGTTGGCTAATCCTTTATCAGGAACTTCATAGCAAACGCAATATTACTGCTTTCTAATATTTTACTTGGACATTAACGCATCCATAGAGGGATTATACGCTGCAGTTCTGCCTGTACAATTTACATTTTGAGATTTGAGCACAATGCTGGTGTATCTCAGCACAAAGAAAAAAGCCAAAGACAGGTGTTTCAGTGGCAACATCCCCGCAGGAAAGACTTTCTAGCTTAAGACCTTCAAATCCAGAGACCAATTCTCCCCCTGCTGAATACATTTAGAGAAGAAACCACAAATCCTGCAAGGATTGAAAGTGCCTCCCCCACACCTGCACACAAACAAAGCAAGCGTGTGTCTCACTGCTCTAATATTGCATTTTAAAAGCATCTCCTTCCCCATCTCATTCAGACTGCTTCACATTCAGCTGATTAAGTCCTCTCAGAGCCAATCAGAAGGCAGCAGCATGTGTGTCTGTTTGTAAATGTATCACTCCAAATTCCCCTCTATTCATACAGGTTAGTCCAATTTAAATTGCTTTGCAGAAGAATGACAAAAATATGACAGTTTCAATTCACACAATTGAAACAATTTGAGACTAATGAGACAAAGATAGTATAAATTACAAGAGAGAATAGAACACTTTAAACATGAAACAGTGTAAAAGCAATTAGAAGGAGCGCTCACACGCTGGCTCGGTTACCACTGGAACATTTATTAACATTCATTAAGTTGTAATGTTTTGGTCTGTGTGACATTCATCAGATTTATGAGCGGCAGCATTTTCATATTTATAAATGCATAGGAAGAGTTTAGTTGGACCAATGAAATCCTTGCACATGTGTTTGTCTGTACAACAGTATGAGCGAGATCATCAATATCTGAACATGGCAGCAGATTCAAATCCAAAACACAAAGTCTAGAAGTTTAAAGTCAAAACCGTCTACAAAGTGTTCAGAGTCACATTTCTATGCAGATTAATCTCCCTGAAAGTTAACTGGCTTGTGTTATACTGTTCACGTCTACACTTCTGACCAGTTTTGTTTTGGATTTTAAATAAGCTAAATATTAAATTAAGTAAAAGTTATTTATTGCTCGAGTGACAATATCTCTAATATCTAGAAAGCCTTTATTTATCTCAGCTTCCACCCTTGGGTAAGTAAAACTTGTTAAATACTACAACAGTTTCATCAGAGTAGAGGTTTCACAGTGGGCAGCGTCTGCATAATCCCTGTCCTCCCTGTAAATATACAAAATGTGTGTGTCCCTCAGGTCCTCTATTAAAGGTCTGGGGGGGTCTGAGGGTTCTGCCCAGGATCTTAGCTGCTGTCTTCTGGGCAGCAACCTCTGATGTTGGCCTGGAATCTGCTGGAGAAACTCTTCCAGTTTGGGGGTTACAGTGTCTAATGCTCCTATTACCATTAGGACCACTTTGAATTTGACCTTCCACATTTGCTCCAGCTGTTCCTTCAGCACCTGGCACCCCTGGCTCTGTTTGCTGTCGTCTGCTTTCAGGTCCACCAGCCACTTGACATTGGTGGTATGTGACACCTTTTTGTCCCAGATGTTTTTCCAGTGTTGTTGAGTTTCAGCTCTGAGTGGCTCTGCCCTCGTGCTGTTATTCCCGGTAGATGAGAGAACACCCTGGATGGATCTTCAGAGAACAGACCCTCTGCTTCTCTGGTTTATCTCTTCAGCCTCGTGGCTTTGTTTGTCTCAGTGTTATGGACATCTGTTTGTCACCCAGGGCCTGTCTCTCATGGAGACCTTGTGCACCTCAGTTAACCAGCTAACATCCTTCCAGGCTTCCTGGATTTTGGCTTCCAGCCTTATTCTCCACGGAGGGCTTCCTCTACCTGCGTCCGTGATCTTATACCCGAGTGCGTCTAGGATTACTTTGACCGGGGCCAAGATGAGCTCACTGCTTTGGGAATCTCCTTAAACCTTTGAGTAAATGTTGCTGTTAATGTTATTACATAAATGCAAGTATGAGAAGTTTAGATGTTCCTCATTTAACATGAGAGGGTCAGATAGAGGGGTTTTTGGTTCTTTGTTTTCCTGCCACACATTCAGGTGTGCAGACATTTTGCACAGCAAACATAAATACAAAAAAATAACAATTAATGATGATTCAAATTCTCCATTAGATTTCAGCTAACAGCTCCATCACATGTGCAGCTGGTGGACGCAGCTGTGAAAGCAGGCTGAGAGTCTCATTGGAGTCTCATTAAAACCTACATCAAACCAGCAGGACAGCGAGCCACAGCGAAAAAGGCACACAGGGACTAAAGGTAAGACTCAGAGTATCAAACAGCTAATTAATGGTGCAACAGGACTAAAGGGCACAAAGAGGACAATGACTGGCTCATTATTTACAAGCCTTTATCAGCTTTTTAATGGGGAAACCAGACCCAAATTGCAACAAATTAGTCTTGCCAGAGGTTCACAGGAACATTAAATCATTAGCAGGTCTGACCTTGTCTGTGTTGCTGCGTTTTATAAACTGCAGGTCTCATTAGACCTCGGCCACAAACCTGTGACGCTGGACTTACATTTTTATAAAGATGCACAAGTATGGAACATAATTGATGGAAGGTAACTGAGTCCATCATGTTTCTCACTTTATCAATATACTCGCAGTTTCCTTCAGTAAGATTATTTGAATAAAGACACTTTGAACCAACGTCTCCAACACAGC